TTTGCCAGTAGTTGCCATGCAAGGCAGGCGGCTTGGCAACCGCAAGTAGGCTTTTACAAATGCTTTAAGATGGATGCTGCTGCCCATCCCTCCATCATAAGCTCCCTTAGTCGCCTCTTACGACACTTACGGGAAAGGAAGTATAGAATCGTATTTTTGTATGAGCTCTAACTACTTCTTGTATTTGTCTGATTTGTTCACTTCTACTCCAATACTTATATGTTACTTTTACATATAATTTTAATTACATGTTTTTAAATATAATAATATAGCTAGAGAGTTTGGTAAATTTATGTGTTACTAGCATTTTCCCGCGACTTCGTCCGCTTGACCGGGATATGTTTATTGACCAGAATGAAAAATAGTCTATACCCTTCTTTATCCCATATAGTACGTATATACCAAATTTCATAGTGATTAGTTAAGCCATTAAGCCACTATAAAGTTACTAACAAACAACCAGAGGGAGACTTTGTACAAAAGTCGAATGCTTGGGTACCTCTGTCCCATTCGTGTTTCAACCGTGAAGCAGCTGTGTTTGCATAGCTGTGTTTCGGTTTGAAGGGTGGGATATGGCGTGTAATGATAATTTACTGGGTATAGAGGAATAACACCTGAGTCCTCAGGAATGGCAACGTATGGGGGGTATCATGGGCAAAACTGTATACTCTGTTATGTCCATGGTACTGCTCATGTCCATAGGCGACGGTTACCACTTTCCATCAGGTGGGTCGTCAGCTTGTTTGTCATTCTAAGTTGTATAAAAAAACTCGCCTTCACATTTATAATATTACTAAGGATATATATTTAGATTGCTTACTATTAATTTATAATTTCTATGAAAAAAACATTAAATATATTAAAATAAATATGACGACTAAAATCTTGTTATGGATATGTATTAATACAATTACAGTCGTGACGCAACCAAGTAATTTGAAGCAAGTCATGCCCAGATAGTGGCGGTGTGGTTGGTCAAAACATTGGGCACCCTACATACTCAGAATGGCGTGGTCACATGTCTTGTTATATAAAAAAAAGGCTGAACTCAATGACGGTTGCCTTATTCGTTATACGCGTGGATAATTGACGTTTGTAGGAATTTGTCTGCCCATGGTTAATTTTAATTTAATTTTTTTTATACCACTAAGGTGGCAAACAAGCATACGGCCCACCTGATGGTAAGTGGTTACCGTAGCCTATGAACACCTGCAATACCAGAGGTATTACGCGTGCGTTGCCGACCCTGAAGAAACCTCTTTATGATGTATCTAGATATTTTTTTTTGATGGGTGAAAATGGTATGGTTCCCCGCCTACGCTAACGGGATACGCTGGCGGAGCACCAGTGAAGGGTGATCGATGAGAATGAAAACAGGCCAGTTAGCCTATCATGATGAATTCATTAGGAATTAACCATGATAGTTTCCAGGGGGAACCGCGAGGAGGTCCACCTGTTTGGGTATATTGCTAGCAATGGGATTCTCAGTCTCCATTACTAACAATCCCTTTCCCCCCGTATCTAGATATTTATATTACATGAATGACCTAAGGATATCACAGAATACTCTCTGACACTCATAAGAAACTTGTTTGCTTTACCTTCCTGAGGATTGTTGTTATGCCTTCGTACAGAATTTCACTGACAAACAAACACAAAACAAATAAACACTACCACGCCAATTATAGTCACTCGGGGAAATGGGATTGTTAGTAACGGATTTTGGCAGCCTCATTGCTAGCAATATACCCTATCAGGTCGACCTCCACGTGGTTCCTCCTGGAAACCATCGTGGTTATTTCTTGTTGAATTCATTACGATGGGCTAACTGATTTCCTTCATCCTCACCTATCATCACTCACTGGTGCCCCGCCTATGTATGATGAACCCATAGCGAAGGCGGGATTATCATTCCATTATCAATAATCCATTATTCATTCATTCATTATCACCCATAAAAAAAATTTAGACACTATCTAAACAAATATATACGAGTAAATAAATATATTTTATTTATTAATATTATATAAATTATTCTATAAAAAGTATTTGAATAGTTAAAACTTATTTATGTACATGAATCATAATAGGATTTATTTTGTGTAACCCTATGCCGATATAAATGCCTATGTGTTATGCAAAGCAAGTTTTATATAATTTTTTTTATACAACTTAGAATGGCAAACAAGCTGACGGCCCACCTGATGGAAAGTGGTAACCGTCGCCTATAGACATGAGCGGTACAATGGACATAACAGAGTATATTGTTAATTATTATTATTATTTAATATATAGTCTTTGTTCTATTTTTGTTAATTGTCAAATTAATATCGAATGTATATTTAATACGTCAACGGCCTATCTAAGTGTAAAAGTAACTGAATTGAAAGGAAGATTCCATACTGTTTATATATGTTTATTGCCTAATAAAACAGTAAACACATAAAAAGAAAAATAATTAAAAAAATATATTGAAAATCTGCACTTTCATTATTTTTTAACGATTCGATAACATTACAATAGAAAACAATGGATTTAGATTCCGCTAGGTTGACTCTATACTCGGTACATAACCAAGTCAACTACAATGAATGTATTTTATTGAATTAGGTATTATTTTGCGGAAATCCATATCACTGGTTAGTTGATTAGAAATACTTTGTTTAATTCTGATACCATTAGCATGTGTACTGCTAACATTTGTGAAATGACTACTATTACTAAAGACTTACTATTACTATTACCAGAGGAAGACTTTGTACAAAAGTCGATTGCTTGGGTACCTCTGTCCCATTAGTGTTTCTACCGTGAAACAGTTGTGTTTGCATGGCTGTGTTTCGGTTTGATGGGTGGGATATGGCGTGAATTTACTTGGTACAGAGGAATAACATCCGAGTCCTCAGAATTGGCAACGCATGGAGGGTATCATGGGCGAAACAGTATACTCTGTTATGTCCATGGTACTGCTCATGTCTATAGGCGACGGTTACCACTTTCCATCAGGTGGGCCGTCAGCTTGTTTGCCATTCTAAGCTATATAAAAAAAAATACTAGAGACTCTATGAACGTCCCTATTATTTATTAAGAATTAAATAAAATTATTTAAATCACCTAACCAGAATAATTAAGATATCCGCAGAAGAATCAAAGTAATTGACATATCCCGAAGAATAAGCAAAATGAAAGTATAATAGACTCATTATACTCGTATAGGTAGAGATATACTCTTTATTGTTTCCTCCATAAAATTACAATAGTAAACTTATAATATATGTATAAATACAAGAAAATATTACACTGAGATAACAATGGCCGGCCTTATCGCTAAGAGCAATCTCTTCTAGGCAACCTTTAGATGAAGAAAAGTAATTATGAACAGTTTTTTTATGCAATTTAAAATAGTTAATTTAACTGGAAGATGTAGTTTGAAGGATTAACAACTGGTGGGAAAGCAAGGTTCTTAAGAGACGACAACATAGATCCTGTAATACAGAGAATAAATAGATGCAAGTTCTTAAGACTCATTCCTTATAGTATCGTTTTTTTATTTTTCCAAAATAAATAGAAATTACCAACATTTAATCCATGTAATATAATTAAAATTTATTATTAATAATAATTTTAATTTTACAATAGTAAAGTACTGTCGTGTATTTATATCGATATTTATGTAATTCAACTTTACAAAAGGGACAGCCTGTACAAAACTTGACTCCTTTGAAAGCGAGTGGGACAGATGTACCCAACATTTGTCCCTCTCGTGTTTCCACCGTTAAGCAGTTGTCCATGCATGGAATATGACAATGAAATTACAGGGTATGGAGGTATAAGTTCAATGTCCTCCAGAAATTGCAAAATACGAGGGATATCATGGGCATAACTGTATCTGTGACGTGCATGGTAACCATGGCCACAGTTACCATCCATCAGATGTGCAGTCAGCTTGTTTATTGTTCTAAATACCATAAAAAATCTGATAAAATAATTAGGGATTAACAATACTTATAAAAGAAGTTAAACTCTGTGAGTTATGCGACAATAATTTAAGTTAATCATGAAAATATTACATACTCGTATAATATATTCGTGCGATCCCGGCATAGAATGAGCCACCCCTTCCTTTCCCGTGGGTGTCGTAAGAGGCGACTAAGGAAACTTAATGGTCGAGGAATGGGCAGCAGTATCACTCTTTAAACATGTTCAAAGCTTAACTTTGTTTGCCAACCCGCCTGCCAAACGTGGCAACTACTGGAAAAACTCCCCTTAAGGTGGAGCAGTGGACAGTAGCAGCAGCAGGAGGAACATATATTCCTTATGTAGTATTAAAACTCAGTATTTTTTTTTTAAATTGTTAACTAATTAGGTTTAAAGTTTAAGTTTTTATTTAAAATTATATATATTTTTAATTTAATTATTTTAAACATACATATATAATAAATTTACAGTAATTTATTTAAAATAACGAATGATTAAATTTTGAGAAATATAAATTCAAAATGATGCTTATAAGAATATTTATAATTGTTTCAATTAAAAATGTAATTAGTACATCGATTTAACCTAAGTATATTATTTATGAGAAAGAAATATCACTTAATTTTTTTTAAGGTATAAAACTAATCACCAAACCTCAAAGCATATTTAATCTAATAATATTTTTTTAATTAAGATGTACATTCATTATACGTCCCAAATTAAAATTTATTCAGGGTATAAATATCCACTAAGAAAGAGGTTTAGAAAATTGTCATTTAAATGGAAATAAAGTTATAGCGAATGAGACCGCAAGTATCTACTAATAGTATATTTAACCTTAAAATAAACAATTATATCTAAAACAGTAGAAACAGTTAGTAACTATATTACATGCTATAAAAATATAAATATACAAAGTAAAAACATCATTTCTGCCAACAGCAATAATATTTACCGAATTATTATATATATCTAAAATACAAATGTGTATATTAAAAATACTGAAACAAATAAAAAAAACTAACCTGTATTCTTTGATGCCATTATATTATTTTTTTATTCACAGTAAAAGAACAAAGGAAATAATTCGAACGCACTGCTACACGGAGTTACGCTAACGACCCGTAGGCTCTCTCTACGCTTTGTGCTACGAAACTCGAGCGCAAGTTATTTATAACCTATAATAATAATATATTTTATCAACGAAAGCACTGAAATACATGCCAATTGGAATTTTTCACGGCGCGTCTGTACCGCGCTATATGCGAACTCAAAGTGACATAGATCCCGACGGTTTTTGCATGCAGGGTTCATGATAACGGTGTACTTATGGTTAAGTTAATTGAGATAAATCATTATTCTATTGATGCATCGATTAAGATGCAGCAGTGCAGTACCGTGGCGGCAAATTTATAAAGCGTACTAAGGGTTCTTAGGCGAACATTGAGAAACATAAATATTATTAGCATAAAATCCAACAAACTTATCTAGAGAAAATTGAATTAATTAACATTGTTCAAATAATCTTGGTAATAAATCTTGACGATGACATTATATTCTACTTAAATATGGATTAAAATTATTAAAGTTTAGTTTTTTTTTATACCACAAACTTTGCCATCTTCGTAGTATAACCAACATACAGCCCGTCTGATGGTAAACGGTTCTTGTAGCCTATGGACGCCTGCAACACTAGATTCAAATAAAAATCTTACTTTAGGTTGACTTATACCACGCTAGTTAAGTTTGTTTACCATTTCAAGAATCTAATAACCTCAAGTCAGCAATGTATTTGTTTTTCTGACGTATGTCTTTTTTCATCACAAATAACATAATATCATATCTATGTAAATATTTTTGCCAAAAGTCTAGTTCATTAAAACGCCAAATACAAAAAATACGACAGAACTGAGAACCTCTTTTTTTTGTGAAGTCGATTGAAAAGCAACATATTTATGTACTTAATTAAAAAAAATAAGTACACAACATCAAAATAACAAAAAATACAGCATTTTGGAATAAGAACAAAACTCTTGTCGCGCCAGTCTGTGACCACAAACTTTCGTTTTAAAAAAAAATCTACGGTCATTAACTTATCAAATAAAAGACTGTTGTGTTCAATCAACTATATAGATTATTTTTTGTATTCGTATAAAGATTTGTTTAGTAAACTATGATGTTTTGTTTGGTGATATAGCTTGAAAATACTTTTTTTTTTAATATATTTTTATTGATAAGAAATGTAAAAGAAGCTAACAGTTTTCAGTAACTGCCACAAATCTTACTAACACGTATTACGAATGTAAAAGTTCATAAAGATGTTTAGATGTTTATTGCATAATTATGCATAACTGGCAGAACAAATTTGAATGACATTTATTACACGGGACCTATACGACATAATAACCCTAAAAAAAGAGCATATTTCTTTTTAAAAGGCCGGCAGCACACCTGCAATGCCGTTGGTGTTGTAGGTGACCATGGGTGGCGGTAGTCACTTACCATCAGGTGAGCCGCATGCTCGTTTGTCCCCTGTGCTGTAAAAAAGACGGGTAAGCTATATCCTAACTTGACATTTAAGAAACTATATATTCTCAAGGGTAAAGCCGCAGAATACTAGTATATCAAATTATAATTTCCTTTATGACAGCGAACACAATGCTATGCATGGTAATTACTGGTTTTTTTTATTAATAAATAAAGAGGCAAGATTTAATATTTCATTTGCAATGAATAAGCTAAAAAAATACTTAACCGACTTTAAATATTCATTCTCATATAGAAAGTTACTCATTATCAGCGAGTAACTTGGGCTGTATTTTATTTAAAAAAAATCGTGTAAAGCCCGTACACAGTCGTTAGAGAACAAAACTCCTTCAAATTCCTAGAAAGTTCCAGACCACTTTACCTCAATGTCATAATGAGATCTGATGCAGTAAAAACGTTGAGTAATAACTAAATTGCTTTTATGAAAAAAAACGGTCATACTTTTTGTGCCTTTAATTAGGATTTCCCATCTATTTTGGGGAATTAGAGGAAAGATCATTGTTCCCCATAAGTAGGTATAATTTTAACAATAATGAGACCTGTTTGTTACTGTAATTATTATAATACAATAATGGGTATATATGACGTCAGTGACAATTTTTTTTATGACTTTACATACAAATTATAGGTTAGGATCCTCTAAAAGCGAAAAGGTATTTTATTACATTGAAAAAATGGGCTTGAAATTTATCAACTGATAGTATATTTGCCGTTGTGTTTTTTTTACAACACAAGGGCCAAACGAGCATACGGCTCACCTGGTGGTAAGTGACTACCGCCGCCCATGATCACCCACAACACTATCGGCATTGCAGGTGCGCTGCCGGCCTTTTAAAAAGGAATATGCTCTTTTCTTGAAGGTTATGTTGTAACAAGAAATGTAAATTCCAATCCTATTGAATCGAGCTGTTGAAATATATCACCTGTAAATATGGTAGATAGAAATATAAATTTTGGATACTTTGGGTTACATTATTATAAGTTTTGGTACGGATCTCTAGTTTTTTTTTTTTTTTTTTAATATAGCTTTTGTTACTCGCTAGTATATAATGTAACAATGTAGCTTTGTGGTGATAGAATTTTGAAATAGGTTGAGTAGTTTTTGAGTTTATCACAAAGATACAAAAAATCAAATCTTTCGTATTTATAATATTAGTACAGATGTAGTTTAAACTCACTGTCGAGTGAATATCTTACTTAACATTATAAATATTATTTTTAAAATGTATGTTAATTTTTTATACGATGTTATGTATTTCTTTAGTGCAAAGCGAGACGTTGTGACGCAAAACAGTTGTACGTCTCCTGAAAAAAACTTCCGGATGAAGTCGAAACAATTGTCGGAAATAGCATAGACACAGTGAGTTCGTTAATTTCCCATTATAGATGTATATGGGCATCAAATATTATAAACATGAAAATCTGTAAAGATATTTGATCCAATTGGATCTAAATAGAATTAAATTCATAATGCCCACAAATCTATCAATCAATAATATTTATTGGCACACGCATGAAAGAGAACAAGATATTGCCAGTTTGTTTTTTATGGGATGAAAATGGAATGTTAACCCCGCCTCCATTTATGGTATTCACTGCCGTAGCACCAGTAAGGGATGGTAGATGTAAATTAAAGCAGACCAATTGGGCCATAAAGACGGTTTTATCAAGTATTTTCAGGGACAAAAGCGGGGCCGCTACTAACAATCCTATCTAGTATTTCATTTTATTTCATGCATGCGGTAGCGATAATGTGTTTATCGATAGATTCGCTTGCCACTAGGGTAAGGGCACATAGGTTCTCAATAAGATCACAAGTAGATACGAAACGAATTGCAAGAATACTTAATTCGATTCGTATCTGCGTAATAGTGACTCATTGGATCGCATTGTTTTGCAGTTGTTTTTTTTTCATGTTTACACAGCAAAAAGCTCTTGTCCATCGAAGGTGAGATCGTTCAACAAAATAAACGACGGAAACTGCAATTATAAAGTCGAGAGCATGACAGTTGTGCTGTCAAGTACCTGTTTCTCTTTACTGCATTGGAAATAAAGTTGAAATTACAATTATCAAAAAGCAGTCTATACTCAAAATGTGTTCTCAAGAAAACAATCGGTCTTGATGTACGCATAGTCTTTGAAGGAAATCCGTAAGCGCTGTGTCTATTGTTTGGTAATTAATTTTAGATTGTTATATGTTTGAATTTTAAGTATAATTTCATATTACCTACCGTACAATTACGTAATCTATTATAAGAATGAAATAATCAGTTTTCTAGTAAATATTAGTCTATAATCATATCTGTGATAATATCACGTATAAAACCATTTTTACATTGGTATTATTAAAATATACTTTTTAACATTCAACAATCTACATCATTATTTGAGCCGTTAACCGTCCAGCGCTGAACATAGGCCTTCCATTGGGAGTCTTTGCCAGTAGTTGCTACGCTTGGCAGGCAAATTGATAAACGCAGTTAGCCTTTGGTGGTATTTGAAGAGGGACGCTGTTGTCCTTTCCATTCAGTTGCCTCTTGCGATACTAACAGGAATGGGAAAGTGGTCTATGCTGTACCGGGACCACATGGTCATCCATTTTACGAGCATTAATTGGATAGACAAAATGGCAAGTTAGTGGGAAATCATAGTTGTATAGAAAGTACCAGTTGATTTATAACAATGATCTTGATGATCTAGCGGTTTAACACACCGTCTTACCTCCTAATAGTCGCAAGTTCAATTCCTGTACAATACAAACATTTGTATTCGTAAGTATATCTGTTCATATTGGTCTAGGTGTTTTCTAAAAAAAGCATTTAAATATTTCATATTATATATTATATCAGTGTTTATCTTTATGCAACTTAGGATAGCAAACAAGCTGACGGCTCACCTGATGAAAAGTGGTAACTGTCACCTATAGACATGAACAGTACCATGGACATAACAGTCGCCATTCCTGTGGTCTAAGGTGTTATTCCTCTGCACCCTGTAAATTCACTGATATATCCTACCTTTCAAACCGAAACACAGCCATGCAAACACAACTGCTTCACGGTAAAAACACGAATGGGACAGAGGTACTCAAGCAATTGATTTTTGTACAAAGTCTCTCTCTGGTAAAATAATTGGTGTAATACCCATAGTAAAGTAGACTACACTATGTAAATCTAAGAGTATTTATTTATATTACTGCATGACTCATTTAAAAAGTACATAAAGTAATATATGTATGTAATTTAATGCAGACATTTATATGAATAATAAGTCTCTGGTAAATCTAATTTCCTATAAGAATTATTAGGTACTTACTTGTAATTAAGTATTTGTAAGAATTATACACAACTTCCTGTTTATTCAATTTGTTATACTTGGAACGTAATTTTTAAGAATTTAGTGAAGAATAGGTCTAATTAATAACTTATAAATATTAAGTTGTTTATGTTTTAGCTATTTATCTACCGTTTATGATGCAACTCTAATGCTAATAAAAAAAAAAACAAGTATTTAAAAACATAATTCATATTTATTTATATTAATTAAATTTTTAAACTTTAATGCAGAGTAAAAATATACATGGCAATGGGCTGAAGACATAGCTCGAAGAACTGACAACTGATGGGGAAAACACGTTCTTGAGTGGCGGCCCCGTACGGTTAAACGCAGTGTAAGACAACCCCCACTAGATGGAGTGACGAACTCAAATACATTGCAGAGAGTCAAGTGGATGTTCAACAGTGAGCGGATAATGGCTGAGATGATGATGATAAATATATATAGTATATGTACACAAGGGAATTCATCACAGGAAAGTGTTCTTGACCAATGAAATATTGTTAATATAATAATAAATAAATTAAAAATATATATATACAGTGTTTACAGAATTGTAATATTTTTTGTAGTGCCTTTTATGAGACGTATATAAATCTTAATTTAATATAAGTGTTATATATTAAACTTGTTTACTTATAAGTCTGTATAAAATTAAAATGGCACAAATAAAATGGAAGTGACATTAATATTCTGAACAGGAATGTAATTAAAGTTGCGGCGTTAATTGTATTCTATAATTATTATAAGCTTAATAAATATATTGTAAATAATATCAAATAACTAAAAATCATTTAAAATGAATTTACAGAAATATATCAGAACATGGATCTAATTTATATTAATTATTGTAAATTTTATAATTTTTTTTTAACAATCTACCTTGGATAGACTAATTGGTTTAAGGATGATAATGAAATGGTAACTCCGTCCTTGTTAACGGTATACGCTGGCGGGGCACCAGTGACAGATAATAGGTGAGAATGAAAAGGCAGGTCAGTTAGCCCGTCATGATGAATACATCTGGAATTCAGCACAATGGTTTCCAGGGGGGACTACGTGGAGGTCAACCCAACAGGGTATGTTGTTAGCATATTAATAGACAACGATTACCGTAGCGCCATCAGCTTGTTTGCCATAATTATAAGTTATACAAAAAGTACTATCATACCTACTTGTACAACAATTAGTCCATTACCCTAAGGTTGTCTTGAAAAGATTGCTCTCAGCAATAAGACCGCCTTACTGTACTTATACAATTGTATCGTTGTGTTTGTAAATTGCCTTGCTTATTTCCTATATTGTATAATGCAAATAAAGTATACTCTTTCATTCATTCAAAAAAAGACATAAACTACCATGAAAATCTGTCTGAAATTGAAATATTCATTCAGTAAGCATAATAAACAACAAGAATTACTTGTTACCTATGAGTTTGCTTTCGATATGTGTATGATAATGTGTGCCGTGGTATACCACGACATATTTATATATATAGCCAAAAACCTCGGAAGTACGATTCACGTTTGACCACCTGGTTTAAGATAATAATATGAATTAAACATGACGCAAGTCCGATTTTAAACATCAGTCAGCTTCTGTAACCCATTGTTACAAATCTCAGAGTCAAGTCATCTAGCTAGGCAGCAATTAGTTATAGTACAATAAAAGAATAATCAGATAAAAGGTAGCATAACGTGTACTTCCGAGCATACGCATTATCATGTACACATTTGTGGTTTTACATTGTTACAATATTATGTTTCTTATGAATGATTTAATACAATAAGATTGATAATTACAATTCGTGAATTATTATTATTCCAGCAACATAATTATAACTATAACACGGGACTTTGCTCGCATGATATCTGTATTTAACCCTTCTTTGCATAATGGTGAAAATTTCCATCATAACATTGAATGCCCGAATATTATATAAAAGAACAAGTTCACTTTAAGTTTTTTTTTTTTTTTTTTATACAACTTAGAATGGCAAACAAGTTGATCATGTATGGATACCTTTTTTATGTCTATTGCAGAAAACAAACATTTTAATTTTAAACATAAATTATATCACCTTGATTTATTTCACCAATACAAAAAATCATGCAAAGAAGGATTAAAGATTATGTCCCAAAGAAAACAGATTTCAGTTGAGACAAAACCAGTTATTTTGATCTAAAAACTAAACTACCGAGCCGATTACGATACAATTCCTATGGGACCAATCTGTAAATATATCCTTTTAGATAATAAAAGAATTTTCCAAATCAGTTTAAAACTGACAGAGTTATGAAGTAACAAATGTTAAAAAATAGAACTGAATAGAGAAACTCGTTGTTTTTAAAATCGGTTAAAAAAATACCTTTAAATTTAAAACTCATCGAGTGATAAAACATCAAATAATATAAGTTGTAATAAATTAAATTTTCTTTTATGCTCATGTCATTTATACTCATCTTCCAAATTCCATCCACCTCATTGGATCATAAGGCTAAAATTATTTCTAGCTTAAGACTGCAAAATTTAACACCTATTCATCACTTGCCTATATAAATGTGATCATAAAACATGGTTGGGTTTATTATCACAATGAAAATATGATATCAGATTGTTATTATTAAAATAGCAACTGAATTCTAACTCGTGGATAGGGTTGTCAGTGATCATCTATTAAAATAAGTAATGCACATATGTTGCTAAATCAAAGACTTAAAATTACTTTTTAAGTCTTTGATTGATCTACAATATTAAAGAATTAAAGGGCTTATTGAATATTAATACTGATATATATATATATATATATATATATATATATATATATATATATATATATATATATATATATATATATATATATATATATATATATATATATATATATATTATATATATGAGTAATAACTCAGTTACGCTTAAACGACTTTATAGATTTGTGTGAAATTTCGTATAAAGATAGACTATATCCTAAATTAAGAGGTTTGACACTTTTTTTACACAACTTTTATCTCAATTCACGTCAACAAAATCACAGGATTCAACTAGTGCATAATAATTAAAATATGCTAAGTCTATTTTAAATAAAAGAGAAGTAAGAGTAAAAAATGTATAGTAAAATATCTTTTTAACAGTTTGCAGCCGTCATTAATGTCCTACGGTTTGTCTAACGCAACGCTACGCTACGGCTAAGAAAAATATATTTACCGGTCGATGCGTATGCCTCTTATTTAGGGAGGGTGAAAAATAAAAAAGGTTTCCTTTGTGACAACCCCATTTTAAGTGAAAGTGGTAATGATAAGAGTTAACAATAAAGTCCAAAAGACGTGATGTAATGTGTGCATAGACTTGATAAAGTTGCCGCCGGCGCTATTGTGATTGTTATCAGTGTTTGTGTTTGGTTTGGACAAATCTAGCAACATCCCGCCGCTGCGCTGTAAGGTCACTCTGAATAAGTATTTTATCAAATGCAGCTTGAAAGTGTTATCAATCTTATGGGATGCATTCTTCTTTATATTTTTTTTTAATAGATGAAGATGGAATATTGTTGCTACCTAAACAATGGTATAAGGGGGAAAGATATTATTAGTAATAAAATTTAACAGGTCCAATGCTAGCAATATAGCCTATCAGATCGGCCTCCATTATTTTTCCCTGGAAACCATCATGTTAAATTCTTGTAGACAATTCTTGTAGTAAATTCGTTACGATGGGCTAACTGATTTCAACAGCGTATACCAATAGCTCAACGGGGTTACCATTCCATTCTTACCTACTAAAAAAAGAATAGCATGATACAAGCGGTGGACATAACGATGAGGATCAAATCAGGTAAATTGATGATGATGATATCAGCCGTTAACTGTCCACTACTGAACGTAGGCCTTCCTAATTGGGGGTTTTGCCAATAGTTGCTATATTTGGATTGGCAACCGCAATTAGGCTTTGGTGATATTATAAGAGGGACGCTGCTGCCCATGCCTCGACCAGTAAAACACCTTAGTCACCTCTTACGACGCCCACGGATAAAGAAAGGGTGGCCTATTCTATGCCGGAACTACATGGCAAATGTAAGGCAAAATAGTAGTGGCAAATTCACTAAAAATTAATCATTATAGTTTCTGGGGATATTACACAATGAAGGCCGACAAGAACAAGAACAAAATATATATACAGTTACCCGTATATGATGTTACAACAAGATATCAAATTACTCAGTATATACTATGATGTTATTGATGTCAATTAAATGATAAATAACGGAAACACCTTTTCTATAAATATATGATAAATTTATTATAATGTCTATGAAACTTATACTTTATTAATATATTCTAATAATATAAAAAAAAAAACCTTAAAACTTTAGCTTATATATAGTAATAATAATATTAAAGAAATTTTGTTTGAAGTCACTGCCGACTAGTAGAGTACCTAAGAGGGTTGCGGTATTGTTACGCTGAATGGCTTTAGAGATACGTTGGCTACAATATAATTTTGCCTTCTGTTCGCCAATAGTTTCTATCAGCTAGTGTGATACCTTCTTGAAAGGACGTGTTGAACGCCAAGCCAAGTAGCTCATAGAGAACGAGTTATTGTTGTATTCCAAATTTCAAAATCTAAAACACCGCCGCAAAATTGCACAACTCGCTGTGTTCTACAGGATAATCAAGGGTTTTATGGTCTGTTGGTTATTACTGGATATTTGATACATTTAATAAAGAGATATCAATATACCTATCTACATATAATCAGGTTTTTATAATTAACATATTACAGTAGGTAAACAAACTTAATGTTTTTTAATCGCAATTAATCATTTAAAAATAAAACGGTAACAAATAATATATATACTCGTATTACTAAAGACATGCAATGGTATGTCTTATTAGTTCGAGCATATGGAATATCAGAATACCCTGTAAATTCACTGTTATATCCCACCCTTCAAACCGAAACACAGCCATGCAAACACAACTGCTTTACGGTTGAAACACGAATGGAACAGAGGCACCCAACAACTTTACAAAGTCTTTTGTAGTCTCCCTCTGGTAATAGTATAAAAGTAATTGAAAATTTTGTTAACTGTTTGAAAAAAAAAAACTATTGATTGACGGTCTTCTTTTTGCAATTAAAAAGATGTTAAGGAAAAAACAAATTTCAGAATTAAACAAAGTTAACTTTTTGTACTTATAATAATCTAAATTAATTGAACTACTTAAATACTCGGAATAACAACTTAATTTAACATTGTGTTGTGGTTTATATATACCTATATAAAAACAGGAAAGTGTTAATGTAAGATTATGGCATAATGCCTCTACAAATTGTGATCTAATTAATAATTCAATTAGTAATAATTAGAATAAATAATATTTTGAAAACATTTGTGGAGCATTCAAATAGTTTTGTCGAACCAAAAATCGTTTTAGGGATAATTTTGATACTATATATAGTCATGAAGGTCTG